TTAAATTAATTGTCGACTCGGGCAGGATTTGAACCGGCATCGTCTGTTTACCATGCTGTTGCTCTGCTAATTAATAAGCAAGTGTTAAGGTCGAAATTACATTGCGCGAGAGGTGCATGTATTAATAAGGTGAAAAAATTCGACGATGAGTTGTAGGATATCAGTAGCTCAATTGGTAGAGCAACGGCACGTAACGCTGACGATGCCGGTTCAAGTCCTGCCCGAGTCAAAAATTTTTTCAATTTATTTCATGATTTTTAAATTGAACGACATATGTTTAATGAAAACTACAGAGTTATGACTGTGGAGTTTTGTAGTCGGTGGCCCTTATCCGACACCGAGATTTCTTACGCGTAACACAGGACCACGACTTAGAGTAACTTAATATAATTGATATTCTAGAATAAATTAATCCAGAAATACGGTTTAAGGATGGTATTTACTTATTTCTCAAACTGAAAATGGTTTCGCAGTTAGCAGCTACTTTGTATAAATATTTATTTTCGGAAAAAAAAATATGTATTAAAATGATTCGGGCTGATTAATTAACTTATGTAATATTTGTCATAAATGTTATGATAGTTAGGTATAAAATGACGTATTTAGTATACACACGCGCTTTAAGTTTTCATGTTATACGTAGTATAGAAGTATAAGTTTTTGGCGTTTTGTTCTTTTTTTGCATACAAAATCGTTGCTAACAATCAACTCAAAATGAGTAGAAACTTCTGTTCGCATTTGTACAGTTTTCCATATCTCACTCCTTAAACTATTTACGGTATGTATTTAAAAACTTTAATATTTTTCACATGTTATTGCACATGATGGTACTATATAATAACTGTACCTCAATCAGTTAGAGCAGCACAGAACGTTGTTCAAGTTCTGCCCGTGTCGTATTATTTTTTATATTTACAATCGATTTTTAATTTATATTTAGGGTCCTTCACTTTACATGGCTTTAAAGTCCACGCAAATTAAGTTCAGTGTAATTAAACACTAAGACAACTTTGTCGCTTGGCCTATCTGTAGTAACGTCGTCGAACTGTCTTGGACTAACAGTGTGAATGGAGTGTCACGAAGTTAGCACTTTCAAATCGCTTTCCTTGGCTCTAATTTACCATGACGAGGCATTTCTGTAGCGCAATCTACCACGAAAAAATATTTGAAAATGAATTAAAGTAACAAGAAGAAACGTTCGATTACGAAATTTATTCTCGCAAAGAAACTACGAACCCGTCATTTTTCTTTTAGTAAGTTATTTTCCGAAATAAAAATAATAAAGGTTTAACTTGAAAATTACATTAAAGAATAAATACGCTCTTCGCTTTACTGAGTGTGTGCTTCTTAAATGTGTTTAATATACATATTTACAAATGCACATAAGTTTTTTTAGAATTCTATCTTTTAAGTATAAAACACAAGTTTGTTAATAAAACAACTTTAATGGTTTAAAACTCGCAATGTATTGATTGTTAAACCTATTTACACATAATTTAGTTTTATTATTGTGTCACCAACGTCAAAGTAATATCTGTTTCGCCAGCGCCATCTGTTCCGTCGTAGTTGGTATATGACGATACTGAGCAGGTTAAACAATTATTTATTTCACACTTGATCACATACAATCCTACACATAAGATACAGATGTTAACTAAGACCACTGGTAGCCCAGTTGGTGAGGGTTGCCTTAGCATTGTGTTCGTCATTGTTTCAAGAACCCTGAATCTCTCGCGTACACAACCAAACCTACTGACATTAATTATCTGCTTGCTTTATAGCGCTTCGCTTTAAATATAAGCTAACTTCGAGGCTCTTAAACCTTTTCGTGTTGCGAAATATAACACATTTAATCCTAAAGCAGAGTACACTTCAGCCCAAGAGTACCTCTAGGGTGTAATTATAGTGGAGTGAAAACATCGCACTCTCTCGTCGTGTTAGCTCTCTCGGGATCTAATAACGCAGCCTATAAAGCTAAAGCTAGCTCACCATTATTGCTTTGAATGTTTGTCATAAACGTCCTTTTAATTTTAACGCCTTTGTTTATTTGATACTAATTTGAAATCAATTCAAATATCTTACAAACCTTTTTCAGTATTGTCTGTAGTTAGCGCAAATATTACGTATTGAATAATACTTTTGACGGTTAAAAACACGATATACATTACTTAATTTCAAACATTTGGATGGTTCACACTAGCAGTTAGTCCGCATCACTTTTATTTTCAATAATTTTTTTAACTCCATTAAAAGGATTAATAATGTTAGACAATGGTTAAAAGAAAGTAAAATTCCGTTTCGTGTCGTTGGACATGGAGCGAACATATTTCTGTGTCCGTTTCACTGATCGGTTTTATTTACAGGCAAGTATTTGACCAGACTTCTGCCCCGCCTAAACGAAACAATTTATTATTTCCCCGAGATTTCGAACCCAGGATCTCTCGCGCTAATGATATTATAGGCCAATATAACCATTTATGTACAGAAGCGGACTAATAGTTGATTTTATGAAATTCTTACTTAAATTATGGGATGTTATTTACTGCCTACATATTATATACACACACTTTTCCTATTGACGCATTGTATAAGGTAGGAAGTAAAAATCACAAGTCTGATATAAATACTGTGATTAGGTTTTTATGGTTATCATGATTGATGGACCGTGATTCGCAGAATGGGGTTGACTTAAAGGATTTGGCTGAGAAATTGCTCTTTTTGCCTCGCACATTACTTATTGTTCCCAAAAGACAATAAACTACTGGATCATTGGTTTGCGTTGTTTATATTCCTATGCCTCATACTATGATCGTGGGAATTGATTGTTCTCATCTCTAGCTTAGATTAACCTTATTTTATAAGAAAGTCGTTGAAAGAAATATAGATTTAAATCCAACTCTGTTCAAATTGAATTTTATTATTTTTATAACACAAGAGGATAGATAAGCTAAGGTTTACTTGAATGTGAATTACTCCAGCCCTACACGACCTATCTATAAAACTTGACGGCTTTTAAATAAAAGACTAACGGTTTAAAACGCGATATATTAATTAATCTTATTTGAAAATGATTTTAACTTCGGCCCGACGTTTCGGATGCTTTGCAGCACCGTGGTCATGGGGAAACTGTTTCACTAATATATATATATACGGGAGTTTAATGTATCGCGTTTTAAACCGTTAAAGTGTTTTATTTAAATGTGTACTACTCGCGTAAACTATACACACTATTTACTTGACGGCTTTTTCATCTGTGGATGGTGGTTCGTAACGCTGGTGGAATTTTCGATATTCCACAGTGTGACACCGTAGACCCGGAGGCGATCGAACTCACGACCTGTTGATTAGCTATAAATTGCTACCATTAGATCAACGTGCCCGGTAAGCCACTCTTTATCGATTTATGTTTAAAACAACATGTCGTTTATATTTCTTTTGAACGCTACCACGACTTTGTGGTCACTGGGCACCTGGGCCCCTTCGGGCTGGGGGCCCGTGGCATTTTGCCGACTTGCCACCCTATAGTTTCGCCACTGTCACTGGGAGACATTCCAAATCTCTACTGATTCCCCATGTCAATGTTTAAAAATAAATCTGAAACTTTTCAGCGATCTAATTTTTACTTAACTTTTTAAGGTCTTGAATTCATTACACTCTTACAAAGTTCATCTGCGTAATCTGGTAAGTGTTCCAGGGTAGTATGCCTCGCAGTATGAGCTAAATAAATCATATAATTAACCCCTCCGGCTCTTATTAATGACATAAATTTCACGCTCTACGACCCATCACTTCACGTGTGATGTGGGTAATAGGGGCGTAAAGTATTCAGCCATACTGAAGATTCGCGTTCGTCTGCCTTGAACGGTGACTTACAGGAATATTCTATTGGATAAATATTATTCTGGTTAAATTAAAACTATCTTTATCTAACTACTTTTAACATTTGAAATCTGTGACACGGGCGGGAACCAAACCTACGACCACAGTTCTTCCTATAATCATTATATATTATAGAATTCATTCATAGATTCATAGACTAAAGAAATGAAATGAATATTGAAAAAATGATGATTATTACGGAACTTCGTAGCCGTGGGACCGAATCCCGCCCATGCCATAAACTACTCCCTCTAAATACTATTAAAAACAACACAAAGAATCGTCCTTTGTCAACGTTATACAATTAACTCATTGATGATACGGTAATATCTATGATTCACAGTAATTATTTTAATTGGTTCAGTATATGGGTTCATTGCGTGTTCAAATACATTAATTGCAATAAAATGCGTGGCTCGCGTCGACCACATGTTCCACACATCTGACATTATGTTATAGCTACATAATTCCAATAAGGATTAGATGTTATTACGCCGTTAACAGTTCGTACTACTGGGAACTCTTTAATCCATCAATCCAGCTAAACTAAACGCAGAAGATATGGTATTTCTGACTATCCTAGTGCTACGTGCTACGGGTTTCGTATGAGAACAATTAGATAAATTTTAGGTAGACCGCTAGACTAGCTTGATTCACTCATCTGGTATGATATAAAACTTTATTTAAACACTAGCTGTGGCCGCGACGTTCACATAGATTAGCTATTTTGGGCATTATATTATTTATTTTTGCAAACCACCTTAGCTTTGTAAATTACCTATAACTGTTACCCAGGACGTCGTCCGCGTCCTGTCATTCTTGCAAGTTAATCTTAAAAGATATACTTACTGTCATATACATTTTTCAGCTCGTCAGATTAAGACGAACCATTGTTTCATATATATTTAATGGTATCTTGAACCGTTTTCGCAGCGCACGGATGCCCCTAAAGACAAACAAACTCTACGGCTTTATAATATTAGTATAGATGAAAACTCGCTAATAAACGAGGCTGTTGTACAAAGTGAGTTGTGAAGGCGTAACTATGGACCAGCTAAAAAACAGATGAGAGAAGAGCCGCAAACGAAATGAAGGTTATTGTAAGGGGGTCATTTATCAAAATGTCCGACGGCCGTCTGACGCCGCGGCCTGCTCTGTACGAAACTAAGCCGAGGTTTGCTTTTATTGCTTTTCAAGTTCCTATTAAGCACATAACTGCTTAACCGTCTTTGTTCGTCATCTCTGTTCAAATTACCCATTCATTCTATCAGCGCCTAAAAGATCTATGGGCTGAGCCATTCTGTTCCGTTCATTACGTGGATACTTTGATTGTAGCTCGTACCAGATTAATTTCAAAAGCAAGCTTCAAACTACGCGCAGCGAACGTGTCGTATAGTCCACATTTAGAGATTACCGAGTGAAAAGCGAACGAGCTTTAAAATTATTATTGTAAGAACCCTCATCCTCTCTATCTAATGATGTAGGTCGGTGAACTGGCGCGCATTCAATCGAATATCCGGCCAATATTGCCGTTCCACCGTAAGGTCGGCGAGAACATTTCACGTAACAAAACTGCGACATTAACCGTTCGTAAATTAAATTCAGTGGAACATGAAAAAAAAATTGTAACGAAATAAAAACACAAAGCAAATGTCAGGCAACAGGGAAAGCCCATTAGCGCCGTGAAAAGCAGACGAATGAGCGTGGCAGGACTTTTAATTGGCTACGAATTGCAAGATTTCAAAAATGTACAAAGGATAAATCATAGCCGACGCTCAGTTTTTCGTTTTGGCAGGATGTTTCATAACGGGGGTACAGGTACTACTTTTAGATTAATCTTCTATTTCCTCTTTTTGCCTTTTTATTTAAAGCCGCGTTCTCTTTTTTGTCTTTTACGTCTGATGCTAGCTATTTTAGCACCAGACAGTCGACGGTCGAATTACGAATTTAATTCATTTGCATTAGGCTTTTGCGTTTTCGAGCTAAAAGTGTCCTTTTAAATGAGAGGGATAAAAAGGTTATGATTAGGTCCTTGAACCATTTTGTGTTGAATTAAATTAAATGATGTGCTTTTAAGTGAAATATCACTGGATGAATGGAGTGGAACCGGCGTCATACCGCGTGGAAACATGGGCGCTGCATGCTCTATGAATAATGCATCATGAAGTTAGCAGATGGGAGTTAAGCGCGCTCGATTTCATATCCTCTGGGAACTATAGGCAATTTCAAATGTTTCTTTAATATGTGATAATTGATCAATGATAAAGTCATTTATCATATCGCACATTGGTAAAATATGTAATGTATTAATACTTATTAGCGTTCCAATTTTGACAAAATTAATATAGCTCAATTTCAAACAGTTATTGGATATGGTTCATTTCGATTGAAATGATTGAGCTTATTATAGGCTTATACAACATAATATTTTATATTGCTCATATGAATTGCGTTTATTACACACCAAGTAAGATAATAAAATTAAAAGCCTTTTTACTTAATGTTACAAGATAAACAATAAAAAAATCATCCATGTACTAACACAAATTATTACGGAACGGAAGTTAAGCTTCATGAAGACTAAAAATGTGATATGTCGAAGTATGTAATAGAAGCTCTAACACTATTTCTTTCTCTTTTAGCAGATCCGGTCGTGGTGCAGCCTACGCTTGTTCAGAAGCTGAAGGCAATGGTCCAAAGTCCTGCTGTGGCAGACCCCCGTTAAGGCTCTGCGTCCTGTTCTTGGGAGTTGTTGGCGCGTGTCTTGTCGCAGCTGGTGCAACCCTCGGAGCTTTAAGACCTCATCCAACGCCACTCACATTAATACTTCTAATGATAGGTAAAAAACTTATTGTTTGTCTCATTCACATTGGTTGTTCCATAATGTGTTTTATTAGTGTAACGAAAATAATTATTGAAACAAGGATTTTTAGTAGGGCTTTAAAAAAAGACCGATTTTTGTACCTGAGTGAAACTGACAGAAATTATAACGATTAAAACATTTACGGTAATAAAATCGATATTAAGGCTATTTATTTAGATAACATAATCTTTATAATTCCAGCAACAAATTAAATAAGATTAAAGATTACTTCAATTAGCAAACACACGTAACGAACACGGTATTCATAACTTTGTCCTAAAATCACTATCAGAAATAAGAAAAAAATTCTATCAAATTCGAAAACAAGTCTATCGCCTCTCGTACGTTTATTTTTTATAACCTCTCCAGTGTTTAAATTCTGTTAGAATTTCTTTATACTAAAACTCTTTGATCGTTTAACAGCTCGCTTCACGTTTTATCTCTTTTGTTTGATTTTTATCGATCAAAGAGATCGTGCTACAGTACAAGAGGACTAAAAAAGCCTAAACTAGTCCGGCGTTCCTATTTTTATTTTAACAAGTTATTAACAACTTACTTTAAGGATGCTACGAAATTAGTTGAATTCAGTTACTTATTAATTAGTACGTACAGTCACTGGGAAATGTTTAAACTTTTAAATGGAATTGAAGAATTTAAATTTAGAAATAGCGTTGTATTGTCTGTAATTTTTTTTCTAGTTTCAGAAGGATAGGATAATCTTTGAGTTTACTATATGGTAGATGAAATGCCAAATGTCGATTTTGGCTTCAGGACATCAACAGACTCAAACTGAACCACGTATTGAAATGTACGATTTTTACATTTTCTTTTTTGGTGGTTCGTTTTCGATTCGACCCGTTTAATAAAAAGATATTGGATCCAACATTTCTCTGTAGATATTTTTAAATAAGCTAATCTCTAGGTTAATCGAATGCAGGACCCATGAATCATACCTAAAACAATTCCTTACGAACATTCAACAAGACCAGTGACATTGATTAATTTAATTTTGTTGTTTTGTATCTCCGATACTTTCGTTAGTGAAGTTTTATAAGTTCCATTCGTAATTAAAATAAATAAAATTGCAATAATTTTAATATTTTGTTTGTGGCTTAAATAGCTTATATATAGTATATTAGCTGTGCTTGTGACTTCGTCCGCATATAGAGTAGTTCTTTTGGGCATGAAAATTTATTTTTGCAATCATTTCTATACATTCTAGCTGTTACTCACGACGTCGTCCGCGTCCTGTAATTTTTTCTAGTTAATCTTAAAATATAAACATATGCTGGCACAAAAAAATGGCCGCGACATTTTTTAGATACATAATTTAAAGGGGAATTATTTTATCATATATGTGTGGGTATTTTGAACCGTTTTCGCAGCGGGAACCCACAAAGATTAATAATTTTCCCCGTTTTTTTACGTTTTCCGCTATTTCTCGTATTAATCGCAGTATTAATCACCAAACCCTCGATAAAAGCTCTAATGAACACAAAAATATTTTCAATTCAACCCAGTAGTTCCTAAGATTAGCGCATTCAAACAAACAAACAGTCTGTAGCTTTATATATTTGTGTAGATATAGATTAAATCACATTGACTTTTAAACGTAAAAACGTGAATAAACGTTGAGATTGAAGTGATACATTGAGGCAGAGCGTGCCTTTATTATTTATAACATTAGCACCAGATGTTCTAAATTAACCGTTTAGGCGTAACTCATTGAGTATTCGCGCTGCATATGACAATAAGTCTAGCCGAAAACTCATTACATCATTCAAAGTCGTGTCCGCCCTTCGCCCTTCAAGCGGCGAAGTTTTCAATTAAACTTCGAATGAGTTTTGGAGCTGAATTAATTGGATTTTCATTAGCGTCGGGACAAATGATGTTGTTACAGACAAGCGATCTATTGTTGTGTTTCGAAGCAATTTGTACGCGTCACTCATTGGTTACTTCACGCATCACTCGATTGATGTGAAATCGAATAGCTCGGCTTAGTCTCACCGAAATTGGGCAACTTTTCTATACATTCATGCGGTAGGTACGTCACCAAATTTCAAGCACCTTGAAGTAAAACAATCAATAGTACCTTATTAATAAATCAGTTAGATTTACAAGTGTCTTCTTCATTATGTTAAATAACGATTAAACGCAATCATTTAAATTTTAATGATTAATATGTCAGGCTGCTAGAGGCAGAGTGACCTAAAAATATGCTTTTTGAGGACACTCTGCTCATTGATGAGCATTTACCTTAGAAAATTAATATGGCCTATTATGTGTGTAAGAATTACGTTAGCAATTTTCGGTCACTGTGTTCCTTTAGAACATTTTAGACTATAAAAATATAAATAAGTTATGTCATATAAATTAGCCAGTTAGGTACACTACTTATTTGCCATCAGTTAAAATAATCGTATGGTTGAAAACTTTAATATTTTCACATGTTATTGCACATGATGGCACTATATAATTTAAAAAACGAAAATAAATTGAAAAACATTTAGAATCGGGCAGAACTTGAACCGGCATAGTCAGCGTTCCGTGCTCTATAAATTGAGCTACCGAGTCCTACACCTCATCATCGAAATCATATGGTGTATCCCCTGTTCGCAAATATGAGCTAAATAGTGGGATATCACTTTTTGGAAAGAAATTCCAACGAAATTCAAATTTTTACAATGCTATAATTCAACCCCGTATGATCCGAAACTTGACCCTATGGAAATAGGCGGCTCGCTTGAAAAATATCCAAATGCAAACAGTTGCTAGTTTTTATTGACAATATCAAACGTCAAATGTGTTACAGAGTATCTAGTTTGCTTATCTAGTTCGTTACAACTTTATTTGTACACCGAATTGCTGCATATATAAAAGAAGAATATTTCATCGCAACGGTAAACCTTATTTAGTCATATTCAATTCTGTTTCAATATTAATATTTAATTGTATTATACAACGGGAATGTTTATGTATGATATGTTATCCTGTCTGTAAAAGTCTTTTATATTTAAACTAGCTGTGTCAGCGACTTCGCCCGTGTAGAATAATTATTTGGGCATCTAAATTTAGTTATCGCAAGTTAACCTTAAAAGATAGTTATTCGGACATTTTTTAGATCATTTACAGATTTTTAATTATTCTTTCATAAATATTATGGGATTAACGTTTTCTCATTACATCGAAAATTCACTAAGATGAATAATTTTTTCATTTCCTGCTGTTTCTATGCTTCTTTGGTCGCAGTCTGCTTAATAGCCTGCCTCCATAAATGCTCTAAACAACACAAACATATTTTTTCAATTCGAACCAGTAGTTTCTGAGATTAGCTCATACAAACAAACAAACAAACTCACCAGTTGTATATATTAGTATAGATCCCTTAATATTATTCTTTTAACTTCTCTCACGTTGCTTCCAGGCATTGGTGTGGTGTTAGTGACAGCGGCTGGTCTAGCATGGCGATTGGGAGCCCGCGACGCACCATGTGCGCTGTTCGGTTTACGGCGAGCATCTTGCAGACGGCTGGTACCCCGTCTCCCACCGAGCTACGCCAGACCTCATCATCCATATGCCGCGATGCTCTACCCTGAGTTCCACTATCGCCCGCCGCCGCCAACTTATCAAGCTTCAATGCAGGAGTACAGACTTAGGTTGGTGTTTTGATGATTAGAGGAACGAGATGACGTCATAAAGGAGGTGATAAAAAAGCAGTGTTGAGTTTATATGAGCGCGGCGCGTACCTCTTTTCAACGTTTTGACTGTGCCGACAACATGCCCAAGGACAGACTCTGCCCGAATGAAAAGGCAATCTGTCTTTCTTCTTCTTCTTGAGTTGTGTCATTAGAAAGTATTACTATGTAGTTTTTAACATCTGGTCCTTAAGGATACAACAATTAATATTAACTTAAAGGCGAGCGGAGTTATTCTTGGGATACCATACAATTATATCCTTTTCAAGTTGCAAATAAGTATCTACATTTACTATACATTAGGCACGAAATTTAAAAAGACGCGACACAAACAAAATATCTTTTATTATAGTTTTCTGCTATTTTCATTTCACCATTATTTAAAATATCACTGTTTGTTTATTTTTTGATTAAACACTAACGGTTTAAAACGTAATATATATTAGTTAAACTAATATGAAAATGATTTGATATATCGCGTTTTAAACCGTTAGTGTTTTATTTAAAAATGTGTACTGCTCGCTTAAACTACAGACAGTGTTTAATCACTGTTTGCTGTTCGTTAAAAGTAAATAGTAATTTCATTTTATTATTTCTATACTTATATCTCAATTTAGTATGTTTGGTTTCAGGTTACTTCTCCTAGATAGAAGTGCACCGGTGGTATCACCACCTCCAACCTACAGATCGAATTCAGCAAGTCTAGTCAGGTTTGTTATTTTTATTTTTTTAACCATTTGATCCATCAAAAAGTTTTTCGAACTAAAAAAGTTCACAAGCACTCGCAACTACTGCGTCCTTCGTGCAATTTTATGAAACCAGGTCAGGTAGTGTTTTTAGTCCAGGTCTGCCGATTCCGAGCAATAATACTATTTTTTTTTATCTTACTATACATGAAAACACAACGTACGTAAAGACTGTAGGGTGTAGATACTAACATTTAAAGCCTCGTCGTTATTATGACTATCAATAAAGACAGTTAAGCTTTATATACTAGCATATTTTATTTCCTTTTCCCATTTGATAGGATGAAAAAATTGATTAGGATAGATAGATTATCTCTTTAATAAATATACCCAGTGTAACTTTTTTTTCTTTACTTTGAACACTGAAAGAGAAAAAAAAAAACATCAAACACAACAGACTGAATAGAATGCAATAACCAAATTTATGCTCATATGAAGTTACATAGAGTTTTTTATGCAACGCAATATTTAACATCAATTTTATTATAATTACAGAGGTTCAACGGGAGCAGCTTGGTGCGGCTCTGAATACAGCGGTCCGCCATCTTACCGCACGCCGCGTGTAGATCCGCCGACAGCCACAGACAATCTCCCCACAATCGCTTCCACAGACCTCAAATATTCTAACGATATAGAACCTCTACCTAAACCACAAGAACAAGAAAAGGACCCAGATGAACACCTTGTGACAATCGTTCATACCGATGCCCAGCCCGTCATAGTTACTGTGTCTGGATCAACAGCTCTGAACGACTCGCATACACCGCCTTCAGAAATCGACATTCTAGCTCACTTATAACGAAATGAGCGAACAATTAGTGATGTGACTGAACTGTGAAGTATTCGAATGCTCTTTCGGATCGCATGATGTGATTTATTGGTGCCCTATTGTGAATTATGGTTTGAAGTGGTTTATAAATTATATTATAAAATGGTTTTATTATTGTAGATTTCGTGCATAGATGTGAATGCTTCTTGTGTAAAAACTATAGATACTCTAATATTAGTTGAGGTTAAAATCTGAGTTCGGGGGTTTTCAATTGGCGGCGATAAAAGTCGCCAGTTATGTCAAATTTAAATAACATGGTAAAATTAATCGAGAAAGTTATATCACGTTTTATAAAACTGTCCCATGATATTAAGTAGCTGTTTGGAATACATTATTTAAACTTTATGTATGTTATGCTAATATGGACTATAATAAAATTTGAATAATGAATATTTATCATCATTTTTCTTTTCTTTACAAAATGCTATGTAGTCCATTATAATAGAAATTACAGGAAGCATTCGCAACTTTGTATAACATAGTATTATTGCACTTGATCGCGTGTACCTTATTGTGTAGATATGAAATGTAAATAATGGCTTTGTTTAATTATTTTAAAAAGCAATGTGCCGTGTGTATATAAGTTATAGTAAGAAAGGAGATTTAAGAAAACGATAATACCAAATCTCACCACAATGTACAACTATAATTTGTTATTAGTGCCTACTACCGCTGGTGTTAATGTACTGTTGTAAATATTCTTCTATATCAGCAAAAGATAACTTCTAGAAATTGTTTTAAGAACTTTTGTGCTCCAAACTGTTAAAAGTTTTATATCTCCATGTGAAATTTGGTATAATTTACGTAGAAGTACGCGATAGAACACAATATTTTTCCATATTTATTTAACTAAAACCCGATGTTACTATATACCAATGAAACCTATTTAATAATTTATAGCTTCATTTTTGTTACAACTACTAAGACCCGAACTAACTCCCCAAATTGCTCTACACTTGTTAAGGCTCCGTTAAACGTAAGTGCACCGTAATTGAAATGAATGTTGTACTGAAATAGTTCAAAACAATCGTAGACTCAGCGGTTGTCAATTAATGTTTTGTGTGTGTGAAATAGAAACAACCATACATTCTACAATAGTAAATGGTGAAACGGGTGACACTGCACGTGCGCGTCGTTTATAGGAGACCATAGATTAACTTATCAAGTGTAGCTTCGCCTTAATGAAAAGGACAAAGAAATTTTTGCAAATCATATAAATGTTTCCCACTATTTTCTAGCTAACGCAAAGTAGTACACATTTAAAGATAAACTTTTAGCGGCTTTAAACGTAACATGGCTACGCTAATCGTCGGATAGTAGTAAAATAAAAGTATTTTGCGTTTTAAACCCGTTAAAAGTGTCTTAGTTATTTACTCATTTCATTATGCCATTTGATTTGAGGCTAGTAAAGTACTAATTGTTTTTCCGAGTTACATTTATTACTTTTAAGAATTGTAACGTTTACTATAAAATTAGCTATTAACATGTTATTAGGATAAAATATTGTACATAATGTTATTTGTATTATAAGAACAAACTAAATAAAAGATCGTAATTTAAAAATACATCTTGTTTTAATTAGTTCTCTCACACACAAAGTATTCATGTACTGTATATTAAAACAAGCAATAGCAAAATAGTTATTCTTGAAACATGTTGAACTGAAAATAAATGAATGTTTCCAGGTGATGCTGAAAGCTCGTATAAATTGTACCATTCTAAATGTAAATGAAAATCGAAGCAGGCGGATTCTGAAACAATGGCTCTCTCTGTAATTATATTGTAAAACAATTTTGTCGTGCACGCCGAGCTCATGTAGATAGGGTCAGCATAACGCTTAATTTTCCATTATTTCTTTATTTTTTTTTAATGGTTTTCTCATCCAGGGTTCCATAGCAAAACAATAACTGTAAATCTTTTTGTACTAACGTTTAAGACTTGTTTGCAAATAATTTTTAACTACGATTTGCAACCGGAAGCCTTCACGTTTTAAACCATTTAAGTGTTTTATTCAAATGTGTACTACTCCACTCTATATTAAAATTATATGAATATTTGAGTTAGGCTTTTTATATTACAAAACATTAGTGCAGAAGCCGAAGTCTGAATTGAGCGGATTTTGTTTTTTTACACACACAAAAAGTTATTTTTTTTTTATTTTCTAAACTTCAATTATTTTTTTACAAAAAGTTATCTTCATTTTATTGTAAAAATACAATACGGCTTTTGTCAACCCTAACGGTTGTTTGGGATTGAGAATCAGTCCCGTTTAATAAAATTCTGTTTAATGGGCAGCCGGGAAAATGTAATAAAGCGCGAATTATGTTTTTTTTTTCATTTAATTAAATATTTGGTCGCAACAGGCCCCCAGCCTGCAATACGATGGGTTTACTTACCGCAAAGTTTTATTCTCGCGGGGAGAGTTTTATTTTCATAAGCGAATAATTTTCGCGGTTATTCAACTTTTATAACTTTTGTAAGTACCTTTAGCCGCAACTTTCACAATACTAAGCTACCATAAATTGTCTTGTGAACTATTTTTTGGTTAAAAAAAAATTGTCTTTAAAATTGTCTGTATTTAACTTGAGAGTGTGCAATTGTATCAAACCTTAATGTCTAAAACGCAGCAATTCTATGATTAGGTTAGTGGACTCCTGGTTCTTCAGCTCATATTCAAACTAAGTAGAGCCACAGCATGGAAAGACCCTTGCGTACGATGCCGGTTCAAGTAAACCTCTCTATAGGCAGATTACTAAACTCTAGTTTTTTTAACTTTGTTCAATTTATTTTCTGAAAGATTTTTCATTTATATAGTGCCTATCAACTGTGCAATAACATGTGAAAAATAAATTAATGTTTTCATATTAAAGATTTTCAAACTGTACCATATTTCTAAAGTTATACTTAGTATAAGTTGTAATTATTTCGTATATTACTTTTGTTCTATTTAAATTATCGGGTATAGTAACACCTATTCAGTTTTCCGCGTTTTAAATCTATTGCGCCTAATTCCAACTATAGAACCATCGAAATCCATTATAATTAATGTCTCATATTGAAAGATTACCAGCAAGTTCTCACGGGCCCATTAGACCAAGTTATTTTGAAGAGCGTCGAGTAAGCGAATAAATCGTTATTCAATAGAACCTTCAAGAGATGCCGACGAGAAATGATTTATGGAGTGACCGGCTCTATGGGCTAATGGTACCATAACATTCCCAAGGACAGACCCAGCGGATACGAACTATGGATGTATATGTCAAAAAACGACTTTGACAATTGACAATCTTTTTTATTATTAGTTACTAGCTGTGTCAGCAACTTCGTCCGCGTAGAATAGTTATTTTGGGCATTAAAATTCGTTTTTGCAAACCCCTTTTCCTCTATAAACTATAGCTACCCTTTCCGTCGTTCTTGCAAGTTAATCTTAAAAGATAGACATATAGCGTCGCGGACTTTTTTTAGATCATTTAAAGAGGAGTAATTCTTTTATAAATTTTTTTCTTGAGTATCATGAACCGTCTTTGCAGCGTACGCCTCAGAAACCCATAGTAAGACTAATTTCCTCATTTTTTTTTCACATTTCCTGCTGTATCTGCGCTTGTATTAGTCACAGGATTTTATAGCCTGCTTTAACCAACACAAAAAGAAATTTTCAATTCGAACACACAAACAAACAAACTCTTCAGCTTTATATTTTAAGTAAGTATAGATAAAGAAAATACTGTCTGTAGTTTTTTACGCGAGTAGTACACATTAATAGAAAACACTTTAACAGGTTAAAACGAGAAATATATTAGTTAAACTTATTTGAAAATTATTTTAACTATGACCCAACATTTCGGCTGCTGAGAGTGACTGCATGACATATATTTCGCATTTGAAACCGATAGTGTTTTATTAAAAAGTTTAGAGAAGTCAAAAATCAACCGTATCGTATTTACATATTGTAATTTTCAATAACATGGTATTTAGTCTGAAAAACGAGAAATAGATCCATCTAATTAAAACTCTTTAATTGATTTTATTCTTTTATTCTCTTCGAGAAGAGTTATTTATACATGAATCTAATTTGACAACGAAGTTAAAAAGTTGGAAGTTTTAAAGTTGTATATTTTTATATTTAGAATTATGACAGCGCATTTATATACATATTGTATAAAAATTATTTAAAAACGATAGTTGATTAAATTACATAAATAATATTTTAATAAGAGCCCGTTCAAGTTATATGTGGGTACTTGAAAAAGTTTTCTTATGGAAAAAGTAGAATATTCGGCTGCGGCGAGGAAAACATACTTATTTTCGCCCATAATGTAATATCATATTTCATCCCGCGTCGTAGATAGAATGCTGAACTTTGCCATTTTCAAACGTGTCGATTATTACCAATTTCACACATGAAAAATATTCCGTCTCTTGTGACTTATTTCTTACAAATATTAATTTGATATATGATCATAAAAAAATAAGCAAATAAAAAAAGTATTAAAAATTACTTCTTTATATTAAAACGGTAGTGCAAAGCGGCAATATATTATTGTTATTCTAAGCTACAATGCATTTGTGCAAAGTATTTGGTAGTTATTTTTATTACCGAATGTTTTAAATGCTTTGTAGCAGTAACGCAGTTAAAACAAATTATGTACTTTGTATTTTGCGTTTAAACCCGTTAAAAGTGTTTTTTTTAAATGTGTACTACTCGCATAAAATGCAAGCAATACTTTTTTATTGCTGTTCGAGAATAAAATATTTAAATAAAATTAAATCAGGTTGGTATTTGCTACTGTGTATACGCTATATCTAGCAACCGATAATAAAAAAGGTAAACTGAACAATTTTTTTAATCGGATTTCTTTTATTTAAAAAGTAACCATATTCAAATAAAAACAGGAAATCAGGTAAAAAGTCAAAAAGTACTTTATTAACATAGCACAAACGCGTCGCGCGTAAACTCGAATTCAAAGTTTTTTCATTTCCATAAGTGCCTTAACCTTCACTTTATATTTTATATTCCCATAGAAACGAAACGTATTTTTTGTCCAACATCTATTACATATATTATCAATGATTGCATAGAATATACCTATTTTGTTATTTTAAGCTATACTTAATATTAGCTGAAGCGTTTGTTTCTACGCGATAATCTCCGAAAAAATCTTTTGTGTTGGTTAGAAAGTTTGTAGGTTTAGTTATCTATCGAAGAAGGTTTTAAGCTATAAAACATTTCTCTGCGACCAATAAGAGCGAAGAAACAGTCGGAAATGTGGAACAAACGGGGAAAATTATTCCTCTTATGAGTTTGTGTTGTGTGCGCTGGGAATACGGTTCAAGGTAAGAACTATGTACAAAATAGTGATTCCTTATTAAATGATCTAAAAAAAGTCCGCAGCAGTATATGCCCATCTAATAATGTTAACTTACAAGGTGCTAATAAGAGAACTTAAGTCGAGGAGGTTTGCAAAAACAAAACGTCTAAAATAACCTAAGTTCCTCTCGTTCTTTATAAGAATCTTACTTCAAATGATAAATTGAAGTCTGGAATGGCTTATCTAATAATACAAATTCACGAAATAGTCGTCTCATTAAAATAGTTTTACTGTAACTTGAATGCTACAAAGCAATGCATTCACGTACGTATCTAATTCAAAAGCAATCTTCCGCACGGCATGGTTGTAATGTTATTAACGTGCTATTGTTCCTGGATGTGGAACCTAGACTAAGTTTAGACAAAGGTGCATTTGAGGAATCAAATCGTAAAATGATAGGCTACTTTATTTTACCTTCAGACTGCCAAGCTTTTGTAACTATTTTATATTGAAACTAGATGTGTGCAACTTTTGCAAACAACCTCTTCATGTTTATAAATTAAAGCTGTTGCCCACGACGTCGTTGGCGTCGTTATTGCAAAGTTACATTTTAAAGGATAAACATACATTCCATCAAACATATACTTTGGTTTCTTTAATCGTTTCGCAGGGCATGCAACGACAGTCTTTATAGATGAATAATTCTCTCCAATTATACGCAATTTCTACTTCTTCTTCTTCGCTCCTATCCGTCACAGCCTGATGTTTTATAGCCTTAAGCTTTTCTCGAAAAATGGAAGCAGTAGTTTCTGAGATTAGCGCGTTCAAACAAACTCAAACTCAAGTTCTAATCTGTTTTTGTTCTTTTTTGTGTTTTTTCAGTTTTTCGCTTCTATACTATCACGCCTAAAAACAGCGGTTTAATTAATGTGACATTATAATAAATTTTCCCTAAATCAAGCATACATTATCAGTGGAAAGGGTTGAAGGATCCAAAAAGGTGCTTAAAATATACAACAGCTGGCTTTGATTTGGGTTAAACCAGGCGGATTAATCGTGAAAATTCGAGTGAAGCTTAAGTACCAATTTATTATTTATATCAACGCTTTAATAGCAGTTTCTAATAAAAGGCTTTTAGTTAAATATTGTATTGTGTGAGTATTAGCCGAATTCGATGTTACTTTCGTGAGAAATGGTGTCTATTTTGCCAGATTTGAATTAACATCTAAGTAAGAGACTTTAATAAAATGATAATTATTTAAAAATCTATTTAAATTAAAAAAAATACAACACGGGCGGGCGTTGAACTGGTATTCACCATCACCACCACAGAGTGTCATGTTCCACTATCGAGTCGTTAAATCAATGTGAAAAATATAAAAGTTTTCAAATAATAAATCAGTATTAGAAACTAATAAGTTTTATCTAAGAATTCTATAAGAAAAAATGAAAATGTCATGTCAAGCTTTATAATATTCACACGTGTAGATTAGCTAGGGCTCAAATAAATATAATATCCATGCTAGAGATATGCATAAATAGAACCGTACACTGTTGGTCGCGGGTTCGAGTACCGTGTTTAACAAAAAACGCTAAATGCTGAAATTGATGTACCTACAAGAAAAACAAGTGCAATTAAATTTTTACATGTTATGTTTGATCGTATTCGAGTTGTAGGTACGAGTTGTCAGACGTTTTTACTCCGACTTGCTCATCCGTGTCGTCCAAATTTTAAACCGAATCCGGGAAGAGGTAAATGCGCATAATTAGCATGGTTTGAGTGTATGCTCCGGGCAGTGTTGCCATTTAATTAAAATTTACGGTCCGTGTGCTTTGTATGCCCAGTGGCCACATCGCGATGTAAATGTCTGCTGAAAACTACTGCGTGTTAGTTAACATTCTTTTATTACAGCTAACTTGTATTAGGGTATAAATCTTTAAATATATTGTAACACAGATTAGTTAAACTGACCGATGCCTCAAGATAAGCTAGAAACAGATTTAATTTATGCAAACCTTTTAATTTGTTTTGAGTAGATCGTGTTAATTTTTTATTCGTGTAACCTGAACCTACTTTTATTATTGCAAGTAATTTATGCGAGTGTACCACATTTAATAATTAACTTTTGATGTTATAAAACGCGAAATATACAAATGGAGTATGGCGAAGTAGCGAAGCGTCGTGTCTTAGTTAAAATTAAGCAACAATATTTTTTGAATATTCAAGGGATATATTATATTCGTAATAGAAAAAACTCTACGATCCTATTACCTTACGTTTGTGACCTTTAATAGGATAGGTACCTATAAAGTTTTTGGGTATTCTTATTAGGTAAACCTTAACTATATTACATTTTATAGTAAATAGATAGTAAATATAGTAGATATTCCACAAATCGCATATGACATTGGTAGGTAACCTATATCATATCGATTTAATATAATATCGTTGAAAATACTCAAACAGTCCTACTATTAAGTTGGACTCATAACCTTCTATGGTAAGTTAGTTACTTTGTAATTTATTATTTGGCTAAGAATTTTTAAGTTATTTATATCAAGCAGATGTAGTGTTAATCTAGTTACAACTAAGCAATGCGCAAAGCTAGCGCAATATATAAATTGCTATCAACTCCCTACCTATTATTTCTTACTTAATCGTTTTTAATTCATACTCGATAAGAATTTGATCTACTTACCCAGTAAGTGCGGCGTTAAATTCGAGATTTATGACCTAACTTAAAGATTCCAGCTAACAATGAATCAAAGGGCCACCGAAGTCTCCTTCAGTCTCGTTGTAGATAAATCGACATGACCGTCTTTTATCCCTTAATATATAAGGTCACCTCTTTGTGGAATTCTAAAACTAGAAAAACTATATCATAGTCTAATATTTATGTACATTCAAACAAAACTTTTGTTTTATTCGAATAATTACGGAACAAAAATATATAACATCAAGCATTTTTTTTATTTAAAGCAATTTTTGGAAACACTTCTCTCGGTTCTCTTTTTCACACAGTGCTCATTTTAAGCCACATATAGGCTTTAGAATATTTTATAAAAGTATGATTTTTTACAGAGTTTTTGATATTTCAAAGTCAATTTAACATGAAATCTTTATGCGCAATGCGGTACGATACGAGTACGAGTACCAAGAGAAATTTTTTTTTTGGGGAAATTTTTTTTCCCCCCCCCCCGGAAAAAAAACCTCTTTTTAAGAACGTGTCTTGAACCTCTAATACCATAGTGAAATTCTATGATTTTTTCCTAGAGAAATACCATTGGTACAAAGTAATAGATATCAGTTTATTAATATAGTGGTTTTTTTTTTCCTTTTTTTTTGACCAGAAGCCACGACAAATCGTAAAACACACACAAAACACCAGCCCTGGGAACAATAGTGGTTTTTTCCTAGTTCTTCATAACTTCGATTAAAGGAAAATAAGACAAAACAACGGTAAAACTTTTAAACTTTATTAAATAGATACATTTCTTGCATATAAAAATTGTCTAGTGAGACTATCTAATTGCAATAATTAGAACTAAGAAAGATAGACACATTCTTGTGAATTTTATTTAGGAGTATAAATAAACTGACAATAATAATAATTTTGAATGTTGGCAAATATTGTTACATATTAAGCATAATATTGTAAATGAATGTATGTATATTCTGAAAATAACATTATGGCAATTTTATTGACAGCTATAGAAAATTAACCTAATCACTTCCTTGCATGTCTCAAGACTTTTACAACAACATTTTAAGAACGATGCTAAAACTTATTGTAACTTTAAGATGTTTTTAAGCAAAACAGCAAAAAATATTTGATATAGAAATATCTAAGCAAAATAATCAATTCAAATAACTCTGATGGATTATCTAAGTATTTTGAATTGAAGAAACTAAATGTAGTTCTTCGTTTACTTTGCCATTAGATCTATTAAACTTGATTCTTTGAAAAACATGAAACATGTAATAGAAACGAATAACCATGAACACAATATTGTTTGATAACCTAATAATATCCGATAATATTTGTAAAAGTGTGAATTTCACATGTGAAATATATAATTTAATAGGAAGTCATTCTTGAGATAGACATGAAATTTTTCATGCTGTTTTGTGGCTCGGGTATTTCTCTACCTGAAATAGAAAAGAAGTTATTATGAGTAAACCTTTATCTTTTGTTTGGTAAATCGGGAAATTCAAGTTATTGCAAATGAATGAAAATGAAAGACCATGATCCGCAATCAATAAGTACCCCAAAGGAAAAATTAATGGATGTGTTAACAATCATGAGTTAATTAATTTGTGTAAAGCTTTCAAGGCCATCATTCCACAAATCATTGTTTTTCAGGCTGTTCGGCCGACATAAGCTATAAATTCTCGATGTTTTGCAGTCACGAGTGGATGGCATCAGGAGATGCTGTTAGCTGTTAGCAGCTCTTAAAACAAAGATAAACATGAGTGTGTTAACAGGCCAGTATATGGATAAGGGAAGGAGTAAATATTGACTTCAACTAACCTTTTCTTAGATGTTTCCTCCTTAGCCTTCTTGTCAGCTTCGCGTCTCTTCGCAGCCTCCTCTCGCTGTTGCCGAATAATCGCAAGTCGGGCTAGATCTGCTCGGGCCTGCTCAGTTTTTCCTTCAGCGTGTGCTTTCTGGTAGGCGGCTGCTGCTCGCTGTCGCTCTATTTCTTCTCGTTCACGCCTGGATCCAGATTAGTTTAAATATACATATTTGCAACAAAAGAGTATACTCACATGACTATAACTTTTAGTGTTGCAACTACAAAATATATAAAATAATTAATTCTAATTTACACTTCAGATAGAAAAGAATGTAATCTTCAAGTTTTATAACCCTCCACTTAAAAAAAGCTTACCTTGACAACTGAGGTTTTTCCCCCTCACCAAGGTTGTCCAAGTTTGTTAATTTCTTATTCTTCTTAACTACTCGGTTTGGATTTTCCACTTCAATTAGACCAGACACACCCTTTGCCTTTGCTGGGGTCTGAAAACAGTGGTTTATTATTACCTAATATTTTAAACAAATTTACAAATATAAGATATTGTTGTAATAGGATCACAACAATACTTATTTTGTTAATTTTTTTATTGGGGACACAGGCTGAAGGATCACTTACATTATCTGTTGTCATATCACCATTTCACCCAGTTCCTTCCTACCAAGTCTTTTATTAATTTGATACTATGATATTTTAAATCAATTTTGATATCTGAATAATTCTTTTAGGTGATAAAATACAATAATTACATAACATGGTATCTATAGACACAACTTATGTACATGGGTTACTGTAGTTTTATTTTGGTAAGCCAATCAATCGAAAGGTGGCCAGCAGTTCAGTTACTTTTTATAACAATAACCATTACAATGCATGAAAATATGTGTATAAGTTAATGTGTCTTATATACTATATTGTTGACAGGATTCTTTAGAAAACAATAATAGTATTTTTTTATTACATCATCATCTGAGTCACTTTCGTCACTGCTTCCAGAACCTGACTTGTTTCCTTCAGACTCTTCCTCACTTGATGATTCATCTCCATGTTCTTTTCTCCACCTGAAAGACAATAAAAACTGTTAATCATAACACCTAAGCAATATAAATTGTTGTAATGGATATATAAGAATCCATTGATAGAAATTTCACTAAACATACTTATAACATTGTACTTTTTAAGGTAATAATGCGAATTTAACACTTTTTTTAAGATTATAAACTTCAGTGATATGACGCTGGTAAATTTCCGACAAATGCTACGATAAATACTTACTTCTTTTTTTGCTCCTCTAGCTTACGCTGTTCTTCCAATTCCTCCGGGCTTGTAAATTTACGGTTACGGCCTTTGTGGTTGGTGTACTTTCCTGTAAACAACAATAGATTACAAATTAACACAGGTTAGACGGTAACAGGAGCACATTTAGAATAACATTGATCGACATTGCCACAAATAGGAAATTTCGAAAAAAAGACTATCTATCTACTTACCACGTGGCATTTTGGAAACAAAGTCTTTTCTTTTCAGTCAAAAATGAGGGAAGATAAATAATAATTGCTTTAATTTTAGAAATCAACGCAAACAAAATTGAAAAATTTGGACGAATTTCAATTTTGACGTACAGTAATGGTGACTAATGACGTTTTAAAAATTAAAATAGTAATGACATTAATTGTATTTGTCAGTGTCAACTATACTTTACCGTTTCAAATTCTACAGGCTAAACAAAACAATGAAAATGCAAAGATTCTAACTATATACTTTTTAACTTGACACTGGCAAATAGTTAGTTCTTCTTGCCACAAATGAAGATAAAAAAAAAAAACTATATACTAGTCTCGAGTGTCAAAATTATGAAGGTGTCTAAGAACGACACTTCGACATTGTTCATAACAATTTAAGGCAAGAAAAATTTTATTTATTGTGTATAAATAAGATTTGTGATTTTTCTAGCCAAGAAGATTTATTTTTTATTGAACATAATCAACAGTCGATGTTTTCTTAAGTATTTTTTTTACTGAGCTAAAGCTAGGTACTACTCTAACAGAACTTCATGGAGGAATATTATAAAGCGGCATTAGAAACAATTCATGTCTTTAGAATCAGACAAATTAAAAATTACCTCGTAATCGGACGAAACACTCACTTCATATTTGTTGTTATCATTTTGTCTTTTAAGACTAAATAAAATCTTATTCTTGTATCTTCGTTAGTACTCCGTTGAGGAAAGGTTAACCCAGGTTTTTAGTGTAATACTAATAGTCTCATTATATTATATAAGCTTAAACTCAATTGAAATCGAAAAAAGTTTCGTTCCTAGACCGCTTCTCTATTTTACCACTAGAGGCGCGCGAGTAATCCTTTCTTCGCCAATTTGCTAAGAAATGCTAAGCCTACTCGCGCGCCTCTAGCGGTGAAATTTAAAAGTTATCAGATACAAATGCTGTCTTTAATGCTTCTACTGCTCATGTTTAGGTTACGTATACTTTTATACATATACTGCTACTTAAAAATTAGTAAACTAAATAAGTTGTAAAGAACACGGAGTACAGTCAAAAAAATAAGTTACTACTTATTTATTTGACTAGAAGCCTTAAATGACATAAAAATGTTTTCGAAACATTAATTTAAAATATAAATTTTTGATTTTTGAATGAAAATGTTAGTATATATAATGTAGACATGTTGAAGTGAGTGAAAAACTTTAACAAGGAGTAAATACAAGACGTTTTATTTTAATTTAATATTTGGTCCAATCGTTGTTTAAAAAATGGATATTGTAGGAACTTAACGATAATAAAGTTTTTATTTGACTAGAAATAAATTATATTGCGTAGGTATCAAAAGGTAGGCTCATACATAATAATATTATTACGATTCGTTTTAGGTCAATACACTCGTACGCATTAAGTTATAATAATATGATAAAATATCGTAAAAAAGCGTCGTTAAAGTTCTTTCATCTTACAAAAGCGGTTTACAAACTGTAGGTACCTACCAGTTTTTGTATTGTACTTAGACCCTACTATTCTAGTATTCAATATTTTGTCTTTAACTTTCATAGAATTTTCAGAGCGAAGATTTAGTGTTAAGATGACATTCTATTCCAATGAATACATAATTTATTTATTTATTTTATCATTAAAATTACAATATCATGACAGGTGGGAGCCTAATTCGACACTGAACTTAAAAACTAACATAGAAATATAGAATACAATTTTAAACTATGACCTATAACTAATATTAAATATCATTAGTTTACTATCACTAGTAATCAGTTTATTATTTTATAATTCATATGAAATCATAAACTGTCAACACTTCACGAGCTCACTCCATATCATAGAATATGTCTTTTTGCCTATGAAGTAAGTTTACTACCTCTATTGCTCTAGTCCAGGACGTTTTTCCTAACAAATTCGTTTTAGAAAAGGGTTCTTTTTTAAGACTTGGGCGATGCCTTTTATGTATTTACTGATCAGGTACTAACAAACTCATTCTTTCCAGCATTTGCATATTGGTTTCTTTTCCCCGCAATACCTTATGACATACGCTGCAAGAGACAACTCCCTTCTCACTCTAAGGTCCGTATTACCCACAATACTCAGTACGAAAAGTGATAGGTACATCAATGGATGAATGACGGATATACACCGTACATTTTCTTGTAAAAAAAAGTGTAAACTTATTCTGTACCCTTTCCAACATTAAGCGGTACTTGTCCTCGTGAAGAGACCAAACCGTAGCGTTGTATTCTAAATGGCTTCTCACTAAAACCTAATGACTCAATTAAAGAGAAGAAAATATTAATTTTGATTTAAAATATACCTACTAAATTTTTTATTATTTCTACACTTCTTAACTACATATCCGGATAAACATTATAGGCATGGGGGCAACATCGTAGATAATTGTATTTTATAAAAAATCTATTAAAAAGTCATCGACTACATGTAAGACTAGAATGGAAAAACAAGACTTTCTTTAGACCAGAGGCTATCAAACCGCAATATTTTTTATTGATAGAGGAGGACAGACTATCATGGGCCTTACTTGATGGAAGATGCCTTAGGTTCAATACAATAAGAGCCTATTTTAATTTTGGGATAAATAAAAAAATAAAAATAAACTAATTAGTCGAGTAAATAAAAAAAAAGATATCATGTAATTAAGACATATTTATTTATTTAATTTGATGTTTAACAGCAATAGTAACAGTTATTCTCTTAAAGATACGGAATTTCCGATTTTAGATGAAATAATATTTTCGTATACCTCATATGAGCGCATATTTCAAAAGTTTGCCAGTATCAAATAACAAATTTTTTTGAAAAATGTGTTTAAAATGACGTATAATAATTACCTACACCCTTTAAACTCCAATGTATTAATATTGTACAAATCTGTTTTACGATCTTCATAATATGCGCCTTAACGGTGATTTTATGATATTATTTTCAATATTTCAAATTTTAACTTGGTTTTTTTTGGCGATGCCGACTGGTATAACGGCGGTATGATATTTCTGTATTAGCGAACAGGTCAGCAAACGGAAAACAGTTGACGTCAGATCAAACATGAAAAGCGTCAGACTTTTCCTTTATAGTTTAAGATCTATTTTACCTACTCTATGTGTTGTTGTACTCTGCAAGTAGTGTATTGTATTGTGAACTATTTTTTAAAATTAAATTTTAGGTACTACTTTTCTACCTCCTACCAGCCAGTGTTTTTCCTGTTGTATTATAGTGATAGAAAATTTCCGACCATTCGACAAGTAGGTATTACTTTTATTACGTATTTTGCGTTATGAGTGTTATATTAAAAAAAATAACAACATGTTTGTTCTCTTCATGCTATTTTTCTATCTCGTTCGTTTGCCAAGATATGTACGCTTTGTAGCCTTTAAAACCAGAATAAACCACGCAACCCAATCCAGTATCCTTATTATTTAATTATACACCCAATAACATAACGTCGGTGCACTGCATGCATAATGGTATGAAATAATTACAAAGATAAATGATGGTTCTCGCAGGGCCTTTAGAAAAATGCGTCTACTAATTGGTGGACGCAGGGCAGGGCGAAGGACTATTATTACCTTGGCTATGTGCTCCTATCAATTTGCCGGAGCATCTGTAAAGTGCTACGAATATAAGCAAGAGGGTCTTCGTCGCGCGTCCATACATTGCTCCGCCGAGACCTTGTCCGCTTCGCAAGGACGCACGGGCCCTGCTAATCCTGCCATTTTTCAACTAGCGTGGACGCGGGAAAGTCTTCTGTAGATATATTTCCACAGACAAAAAATAGACGAATGTTAAAAGTGCCAGTGTGAATTCAAAGGATATTTAAAAGGTAAGATCGTTAATTTAGTCCCGAGTCCTAAGCAGACAAAATATATTTAATACACTTATTGTTAATTATTCCTAAGCATTACTAAATAACAACTAAAATATGTGAGAAAATCTCCTCATAACAATTTTATCTCAAGATCACTGAAAAGGAACAGCAAAAAATTTGCATCTACTGCACTTATTATAACCGTAGGTAACTTCTGAAATATGTCTTAAATAAAAGCATTGGGCATTAGAATCATGAATATTATAGGATTTGAAACTAAATATAGAAAAGAAAATTGTATGTCGTACCTTTTTATTTTTTATAAGGCTTAATTACGACTGTTATAGTCGTCATTACGTCCCGTATATATTTGTTGCGCTACATTAAACATTTGTAAAAAATATAGATTATTTTCCTACTAGGAGTTCTATGGTGGATTGGAATTCAAACAGCATTTAATATTATGTACATTCTTCATGAATAAATGTCTTAAAATTGCGAGAATGGCGATTTTCGTAACACTAAGCGGTTGTGTGCTTTACGAAAAACAAGACTTAAGATGATAGGTAAAATATTAATTAAATAGGTAAAACTATACTGTACATATAAAAAGATAAACATCGTATTTGTACCTACCATTGCTTACATCAAAAACTTCTTTTTTCCTGCATAACATAACCGGTAACAATTGGTAATTAGATCTCACATACATAATTGCTGTTTTTTAAAACTAGAATTCTCGGGGTACAAAACGCTTTAAATTAAATGTTCACAAAACCTGTATATTTTATGTGTATAAAATACTTATTAATTTATTAAATAAACTTAATCTATACATCGTCTCACTGGGCATGGAAACCGCACAAAGGTTTTTGCCACGGTGCATTTGCAAAAGGTATATAAAATTAAATACTAATAAGTTAAGTGAGAGAACTGTCAAGAAATAACCTGTGTGATGTGTCATACTAACTCAATGTAGTGTTTTTGTAGGGCCAGCAAATCCCTAAATTTCATGCATAGATGTCGTGCGAATTAGTCGTGAATGCGTATATATATATATATATATATGATTAAAGTGTGAAGAAAATTACTTAACTTTAATAATTTCATAAAAGCTGTAATATAAATTTGTTACATGGAAATCCACATATAACGACTAATTGTCAAAATGTAGAAATTTTAGGTTTTCTACAAGAAAATAAAGTCTACGATCTCCTTTATAGATCAATACTGTTTGAATTAATTAACACTCTCCATTACCAAAGCTTCGAGATCCTTATAATAAACTATGTCTTCATTCCTAACGAATTGAGTTTAATGTGAATACAATGAGTGAGAAATGAGTAAAGCAATCTTTAAATCTTATCGATGTTTACAAAGGGTGAAGGAACTTTTTTATTGGTGTAGCTATTGTTTTCATATCGTTTAGGCACAATTACATCTTAACCTTTAAGTATATTGTAATTAGTATGTTTGATCATAAAAGCCACATTATAGTATTAATAGATAACCTTTTTCAAATATATACTATTCGCAAAAAGTAAAAGATTTGGCTTAGTTACATTAACGTTTATACTTTGGTACATTTTAAATTCCATGCAATAAGATTGAGTAACCAATGTAGTGTAAGTGTCTGGCTTTAAATATTTTGATACTTTTTTTATTGTATTCTGTAATTTTGTAATTAACAATACCTGTAGTTTATGATCTAAACAAATACGTTCGGAAAAAGATTGAAATATTGAGAGTTATCAATCGAATAAAATATTCTGTTTAATAATTTGTTTGGTCGATCGTTATAAAATAATATGGAAATATTTTTTTTATAATAGACGAGGACAGACGTTGGGTACAATTGATGGGAAGTAAATGCAGCATGCAAACGCAATTCACCGCGTTTTCATTTATGAAATGTAGTTCGTGATTTCGGAATTTCGATTTTCCTACCACCTATTTAATGTCCAGATTTAAAAGCGAAGTCCAACATTTTTCTGAAAAATTATAAATTTATTGTAAACATGTTAGACCAGCTGAGGATCGAAGCCATGTCGGCCATGTTGATTGTTTAGGTGTACTTTGATACTATTAGATCAACGAGATCGTCAACTCAGACACACAATATTACAGTTATGTATCGACATTATAGCTGAAGAACGCCTTAATGAGTAGACCGGTCTATTGTGATGCTACTGATCAGATAAAATGGGTTTGAGACTTGTACGACATGTTAACAACTTCGAACATACTCTAAAGATGCGAGATAGCTTCTTAAGCGAAGTACTTATATAGACATAGAAGTTGGATTAATAAATTTAAAAAAATGCGACACGCACAGGACTTGAATCCACAGCGTTCCGTGCTGTTGTTTTAACTACCGTACTTTTGAGCTACCGTGTCAGTGATGTGACACATGTGAAAAATATAAAAGTTTTCAAATAATTAATATTGCCCAAATCTTCAATGATATTAGAAGGTGTGTATGTGGAGCTAGGATTATTATTAAAGCGGTTAGCATATTATGTGATTGTCAAGTCGTGACTTATCAAGATAACATAAAAAACGTCTGCCTACTCTACATTTACATAAAAAGTGGTACTAGACATTAACGTTTACCGCATCTAATATGAAACTACAGACGTTTCGGTAATTCGCAGATGATTTTCCCTAACTTTACCATGTTTAAAAAAATATTTTGTTTTTATTAATGGGTCTTATATTGTCGAGTTGTGTTATCTGTAGTTTATATAAGTATTCTGTAAAAGAGAGTCTTGTTTATAAAATAATTTTTGCAGTTTTAAACGCGTAAATATTATTTTCAAATTATAAGGACGTCATTTTAAATTAAAATTAGGGTTTCTGAGGTAATTTCAATAGTTAGTACAAAGTTGGGGAAATAACTTTTATTAACATTACTTACTTCGCGTTACCTGAATGGTCGTGTAAACAGTTTTTTACAACTCATAAAAATAAGCGTTTGGCTTATAAATTTCGATGTTAATACGACATTTATTGTATTAATAAAAATTAAGTTCAACATTGACAATAATTCATTTACAATACTTGATGAGTCACGGTAGTCGTAAAAAATATTTTTTTCCAATTTTTACGACAAAATTTAGGTCCGCTGTTGTAAACCGAAAACGTATTGTGTCTAATTAAAGCAAATTGTTCTTTAGTATTTATTGTTGTTGTGTAGTTAAATTTAACAATTATCTCTAATAGCTTGCAATAACAAAATTCACTTCCATATACTCTTTTTAGCGAAACTCAGAAGGACTCATTTTTGTCGTTACAGAGAGCTATAGTTATATAGGGAAAAAAGAAAACATCAACATTTTATAATAATGTTTAATACATTTTTGACACACTTTATTTTTAGGTAGTATTCTTCTTCTTTATGATGATGATGTGTTTTCTTTATCTCCGATATGTATTAGACTTTTGTGATGTAGAAAAGCTGCGACGCTATAAAGAGAGTAATAATGGGGGGTTTTAAAGAACATCCATCAAATTGTGATCTTTGCCATAAAGAGTTTTAGTGACAAAGAACATTTTTACCGTCTGTAGTCTACGCGAGTAGTACACATTAAAAAACACACTTTAACGGTTTAAAATGCGATATATACGCGTAGTCTTCCCGTGACCACGGTTGCTGCAAAGCATTCGAAACGTCGGGCCGTTGTTTAAATAAGTTGTTAAACTTAAAACGCGATTTACATTAGTTATAATACAAATCGCGTTTTAAACCGTTAAAGTGTTTTATAAAAAAAATATGATCGATCAACAAAAACGTATCTACCCTTTCTAAAAGGCGTCGTATTTACAAATTTAATCTTGGGCGTCTATTTAGTCTTATAATAAGGCTCTTCAAAGAAACTTAATTGGATTGGTATGTTTGTTTACGCACTGTTATTACACAGCAATTCCAGTCGTGTGGATTATTTCATAAAATATAAGGTATGCACTGTGTACATAGGGTATTGCACTGTTTCTTCTTCTTCTATTTTTATTCTTGAACCTGCCTTGTGAGGACTAATAAAAAGTATAGGATAGTTTATATGGCGATGTCAATAATGAATACTTGGATTACGACTGGGAACCAGTTTCCCGACAAAGCTTCGTTAAACGTTTATTGATAGATTTTATATACGAACGACTGTACTCTGGAGACTTTCTTAATTTTTATTATTGGCCGATTCATATTATTTTTCACGGATCGCTAGTTAGGCTAACAATAATTAGCGGGGCGTTCGTTTGATTCTAACAGTATCTAATATGTTTTAAAATGGATTTATATTTCCTCTATATTAAAATGGTGGTAGGAATTTTTTAAATTCCGTCCAGATAGATAGGTTCATCAATTAATACCCATGCTTGTGAGGGCAGACAACTTAGTCACATAAAATTAGGCAAAAAACTATTTAGAAGCAACAGCACACGTAACGCTGTGGATGCTGGTTCATGTCCTGTCCGTATCCTAAATTTTTGTCTAAATTAAAAATTCTATTTTTTATTTATATATAATGCTATAATGTGTGAAATATATTGGTGTTAAAACATACTCTTGTCATAACTTACTATGAATAAATATCGTGACGCGAGTAGTCTTAAATAAAAACTTTAACTTACGTGATATATTAATCCCTGGGATCACGGCTGCTGCAAAGCATGCGAAACGTCGGGCCGAAGTTAAAAATCATTTTCAAATAAGTTTAACTAATATATCGCGTTTTAAACCGTTAAAGTGTTTTATTTAAATTAGTATAAATATATTTGGAAGTCACGTAATTTTTTATACTGATAAAAGTGCATTAAAAGTTAATGTTTTACCTATTAACATTTCATTTAAATTCAAATTCCCTCAAATATACTATAGACTTGCAGCTGTTACCTAGGTTACCTTGTTATATATGGGTCATGGTTTGTACTGACGACGTAGGGCAAC